AAATAGTGTCATTTTACTAGGCAAAAAAAAAAAAAAAAACCCTAGGCACTTTAGGTACTGTTAAGTGCATCTAATAGTGCCTAAGTGCACTTAATTGATCCAAGTGGTACAAATTGTATTAAATTTCTATCTAAAGGTTGATGTGGGGTGAAACGGCACCACCTAGCACATAAGTGCCTTTTTTACCATCTTACTTACAATCTTAGGTGAGATTATAATTATAACATATATTTATGCTTTTTCATTCTTTTGTGTCATTCAACCTCATGAAAGAAATGAGCCAAGTAAGAAACAGATCATCGAAGTCGTTAAAGGAATGCTAACTAAGCATTAACAGGCAATCGGTTATCATGGTCGAGGGAGGGTCAGGGTTTATGTTCATCCTGGTGGGATGATGTTTGTAAATTGAAAGGATGTTTAGGCACAAGGGACGGGTGGTTAGACTCTAATTTCATATCGAATCCGGGAGAAGGGAAGAGTGTTAGGTTTTGGAAAGATGTGTGGGTGGGTGGGGATACATTGGCTAATATTTTTCCAAGACTATTTTTGTTGGATGTAGGTAAGAATTGCAACATCCATGATACAAGACATTGGATTGATGGGTGTTGGGCATGGAGAGTTTCATGGAGAAAACCACTTCAAGCTTGGGAAGAGGGCAAATTGCAGCAATTGGTTGAGACCTTAAACAACAAAAAGTTGGGGCAAGGTGTTGATGATACTTGGTGTTGGAGACTAGACACTGGAGGGAAATATACCATAAGGTTGGCCTATGAGGGCCTTGCAAAGAAAGATGATTTTAGGCTGTTGGATTTTAGAAAGTTTTGGGGTGCTTAGGTTCCATCAAAAGTGAGTGTTTTCTCATGGCAACTGCTTTTTGATAGAATTCCAACAAAGGTTAACTTGGCAAGGCATGGGATCCTAGTTGTTAACCAAGACCTCAATTGTTATTGGTGTGAGTCATCTCCTAAACAGATAGATCATCTCTTTGTGTCTTGTACTCATTCCTTCAAATTATGAATGAGATGCCTCAATTGGTGGGGGATACAATATGTCCTCAGGAACACTTATGTGGACATTTTCCCTCAACATAGGTGGCATTGGGCCTCAAAAAATCTAAAAAAAGGCTGGCTTATGTTATGGTTTGCCGTTGTGTGGTCGTTGTGGCTAAGTAGGAATGAAATTGCTTTTCAACACAAAAAACTTAATGAGGATAAGGTGTTTGAGCTGATACAGATCCTTTCTTTTCATTGCGTTATAACTCTTTTGAATTTAGAGAGCTTATCTTTTGTGGATTGGGTTTCTAATCCTATGAGCTGTTTGACTATTAGGAAATAGAGGTTAGTTAAGGAGGTGGATCTCAAGTTTGTTCTGGTTGTATAATTTGAGTGCAAGCTCCACTCTCTACTAGGTTTAAAGATTGATGTATATAGATTTGAGCAACCCTTGTGCTTACATAATAAAAATGTCTTTGCATTTCAAAAAATTTTTTTTTTTTAAAAAAAAGGGGGCATGTAATAAGCACATGAATGGTTGGGGGGGGGGGGTTGGCCCACCCACAAATCCTTATCTCATACAAAGAAAGGGTGTTAATATAGGGACAATTTTTTTGTACTACTTTTTTATACAACTTTCACATGTTATTAAATGAGTATATGTATTTAATATTATAAGTCTTAAATAAATAAAAAGAGCAATTATTTAAATGAAAAGTAAGATTGTACAAAATATGGTGCAAAAAAGTTGTCCCTAAATTATTTTCCTACTAAAAATTAAATTTGGAAGTGAAGAGGAATTAACTGATGTTGCACATTATGGAGAAGAATAGCAGGCATATTTAGTTATTTACCAAATAAATAAATAAAAAGAAGACAAGGCACCAATATGTAGGTAAGAAAATAATTGGAAAGTTGTCCAAAAGAAAATCTAGTAACTGGAATAGTAGATCTTCTTTTTAATTAATATTGTTAAACTTTTTTTTTTTTGAATTATTGAGATGTATTTGTCTTTTAAAAGAAGAAAAAAATTATTATTAAAAATAGATAATAACATAAAATATAAAAAAATATAA